AAGAACTATTACTATTTAACCAAGTCTCCTGTAAACAAATAAAATCAAAAGATAAAATGAAACTGGTAAATTCTGTGTTAGAAGTTTTGTTAATTAACCCATTAACGTTCCAACTGCCTAATTTAAATTTAGATGTTAATGGGTGCATACTAAAATTATAAAAGAAAATCAAAACACAAGAATCGTCTTACTTTGAAATGACGGTAACTTGGGAAAGATACTAGATATTATTATCATATTCAAAATTCAGGGTACTTACGACAAGTGATCAAATAATTAATTCAATTTCAGGACAGCTTAGAAAGAGTTCATAAAGTCAATGAATTTTTAGAATTTCGAGAACATGTCTGAGGAGTTCTTTGTACTGGATTGCGAGCGATTTGATTTGAAATACAGGGTCGTGTACAGTTTGGATCATTTAAACATTTAAACACGGTTTAGTAACCGTGATTTAAACAACGGATTTTCCACGTTTTCATTCCGGTTTTTGTATAATTTGGATTGTAATTTGCCCATTGAAAGTACAGTTGTGAAATAAACCGGTTTTGTGACTCATCATACTACTTGTAACTGTGGATATTTGACGTTCAGTGGTACTTGATTCGACCGAAATTTGAGACGCGGCGGGACGCGGTGTATTGTCATGAATTAGTTTTTGCGTATCTGTTAATCGACTTAATTAGCTGATTATTAGCGAATTGCTGTGTTATGTCTGTCATCGTTTAGGCCTATTTGAAGTTTTGGAGAGAACTTGGCTCAGTGATTTGGAACTAATTACGAGATAACCGCCGCTATTCAGACTACGAGTCTGACAGTTGGTATTCGTAGTTATTAATGTAGTGAACGATTAATCAAAAGATATGACGTATTCAGTGCTTAGTGTGATTGGCTTTATGATTGAAGGTTACGCCCTAGAGTCTTTTTACTGTTTTGTAATTGGTTAGAGTTTTGAAAATGAATAAAGAGAGATTGAGTTGGTCTTGAGGAGCACAGCACGATAGACGCAGTCGAGTCCAGTCCTGGAGAGCCTTGGGGCGAGTGTTGACGCAGTCTAAGAGAGTCTTGGGTCAGCCTTGCGATAGTCTTGGGGATTTTTCCCCCAGGGCGCCGTGTCTTATAGAGTGCTCGATTGACCGACTAAGACGAGAGCTGAAACGTATTTCGTTGT